GTGTAAATGCTAGAGGCCTGATTTGTACCTTGAATCACTTTGAACCATCTACAGGACTGATTATTGGCCCCTGGCAGCCAGATGCCACACATCAACCTCTTAGCTACTATTTTGAGTAAACTTATCTGAAATGCATTCTTTTACCCACAGCTATCTAAAAGTGTGCAATTCTTGATATATGACACTTAAAAATAATATTATTGAAAGAGTCAATTGCAAGGTGAGTTACTATGAAAACCTGAAAATGAACACCAATTCAGTCAATATTTCTAGATAAACAAGCAACAGTAACACTGCTTGATGGGAATTCTACACATTACGTTTTGTGTTTTGTTTGAGAATTATCATTATTACCACCTGCTAATTTTTAAAATGCATTTTCTGGGATGTACTCTTTGTGAGGAACGTTTGATTTAATCATAATAGCAAGTGTGTGTGGCAAGATAATAATATTGTTCTAAAATCATACATGGAAAGGTGAAGGTTCATGCAGGATAAATGTATCTTGACCCACAGTGTTTGAAAGCCAAAGGAACTGGATTTGAACCCAGAATCTACCTGCAGATGTCATAGTACTGTCATTGTATCTCCTACCAAACTCGTCTTCCACTTATTCCCTAATCAGCAGACCTTTGGAAGAAAAAAAAATTAGACATTTATGAGCATAATGATATTAAGAGTTATTTTCAATTTGCTTTTAAAATTGGAGAAAGAAAATATTGAAATGTGCTTCCAGTGCTCAGTTTGAAGAAAAATTAAGGACGTTTCATAATGCTCAAAGTATAAAGAGTCAAACAGCAGAAGAATAATGGGCTTTACTTATTTCATATTTTACTAGTATCTTATGTGTTGCTCACTTGATTTTCTTATTTCAAATTGGTGAACAGATTTGACATGCATACCTGAGAATCTAAGAAGCTATCTGGAATAGATTTTTTTGGGCAGGTGTAATTGGATGCTTCAATCCTTAACACTTGTGTTTAGTGTTATTATGTTAGCTTCTTTATCCTTTTCAGTCTCTTAAGCACAGCTGTGCTTGATACAGGGGAAGAAATTACTGTTATTAGTACTCTTTTTGAATATACATGGGCTCAGATGTCCAACAGTTGAAATGTAACATGCCATTTGATAGACAGAAAATAAGGTTGTATGAAAAGGAACAGTTGTATGATACAGTAATTCTTTAAAGGCACATATGATGAAGGGTGATTATAGCATGTGATTCTGGGACAAAACTGGGTGATTTCTCTGTCTTCTACATGAATGTTGTCCTGGGAACAAGAAGGGAGCATACATGGCAACAACCAAGATTTGACTTTCCTGAAACCTGGTATAGTTAATGAAGGCTGAAGACCTTAGAAAGTGAAGACTTTACTGTTTGACAACAATAAAATTTTAGTGTAAAGTGTGGTATTTTACTTCTTAAAAATAGGGTGATGTTTATATGGTGCATTAATAACATTTCTTTGTTAAAATTCTGGATTGTATAAGTACTACTTAAGCAATGCTTACACACCAGAGCATTCCAATGTATAATTTACACCACGTGGGATGTTAGCTTCACTCACCCGAAGAATGACCCAGAATTTAGGCTTGATCACTTGAACTTCTTCAGCGAGCCCAGAAATTATTAAATAATTGATGTCTTTTGCTTGCTTTTAGTTAATGATTTTGCTTTGAATGTCATTTAAATTATGCTTCCTTGTTGATTTAAATTGGATATGGTATATTTGTACCATGAATCATGTTCTATATCTAAAATAGTATATTGTATTATATTTGAAATTTTTTATGTCATGTTGGTTCTGCCATCATATCTGGTATGAAACTAGATGTTCCCAGGGGGTACACAGATAGATGCTCATGTGCTAAATTGATACTATGTTGAAATTATTAGTTTATTTTCATTTGTATCCCTCAAACTTACCTCAATTTCTGTCACAGTACTTCTCTTGCTCTCCTTTGAATTTCTTTTCTTCAGACTTATGCATTACGACAAATCCATATCTAAAATTGTTATTGCATAGTGTTGTAATGCTGGCAAAACTGTATGCTTGTATAGGCATTACAATACTTAGTTCTCACAGAAGTTAACAATATCATCAGCATTTTATATATGAGAAAATTGAGAGGGATGGAGTTTGAAATGGACGCTATAGAGTAATTGCACCCTAGCTCAGAATTGAGTATAATAAATGGTTACTTATTTAGAGGTAGACTCATAGATCATAGTCCTCTGCTCAAGTGGGGAACAGGAAGTGAATCCAACAACTGGGAGAGAAAGCATACACAAGCTTTATGGCTGCATTTATAGTATAAGAGACCACACTCAAGTGGGTTGGTACCTTAAAGGCTATTGGCTGTAGGAATTTCCACAGCACCAGGCTTATCTCTACCACATTGGTTTAAATCCAGAGTGTCACCTATCTAACCATAGTGTGTCCTCATAAAATAGAATGATTGAGTCTAAAATAGGCTGTCCACTGTCTTCAGATACTAGAATTATTTTATTCGATACTCCTTATCTCAGAACAGGATTCACCTAAGAATACTATACAAAGCATGAATATGAGAAAAATTGCTTTGTTTATGTTTCAGTCCATGCTTATAAGGTAATTCTTATTTTTATGCAACTACTTCTTATGGCCATGCTTAAATTTTTGGCTTTTCTATCTATTATTTTATCCAAGAGAAAAATGCATTTTAAAATTATGTGTTTATGTTCTTGTATGTATGGACTATATAGTAGATGCATTTATATGTCTTCATTAATGTGTATATTTATTGATGTGTATGTATGCATATATACATGTACGCACATACAGACTTTTAGAGATGGAGGGAAATTGATTTTATTTAAGGAGGCTTCTGATGTTTGTTTTCAAAATTGTGTGAAAACAAAGCTTTAATTAATACACAAACGGTCAACAGCACCTTTTTATAGCTTTCAAAAACTAACAGGATCAAATGTTTACCTTATAGTAAAGATAAAATGATGAGATTACCATAGTAACCTGCCAGTGACTCAAAGCTGGGGCTGAAAGGTGCTGAGGCCCACTCCACTCTCCTGCTTCTTGTTCACCTCCAGCGTTCTGCCTCATTGCCTTGTCCCCTTTGAAAACTAATCATAAATCTCTGCAGTCTTTCCCAACACTCATTTTCCTTTTCTCCTATTTCAGCAACAGTTTCACAAACATAGTCTCCAAGCTATGTCTAATCAGTTTTCTGTATAGGAATAAAAGATTTCAGAAAACATAGCTGAGCTTTTCTCAGTTAATGATAGCCAAAGATTATGTTATGTAGAGTTTATAATCAAATGTGATTGTGAAAATGCCTTTATTCCATGGTGATCAACCATCATGACTTAATATCTCTAAAAATATTATTTTCTTCCCTTTTTCTTTCCTGCACCGACTTCCTGGAAGTACTTCACAGACTGTGTTGAATAATAACTAAATGGCAGGCAAACCGATGAAACTCCCAAGTTTTCCCCTTGATATTTTCACTTCCATAATCTCTGTAATTCAGCCATTCATGCTGTGACCTTTCATGTAAGACGAGCAATAGTAGAAATGTGTTTGACTGCAAGACAAAATCAGGATGACTCCCTTGTGTTTTAAAACATATTTAATTTTGCATGTATTTTCTATCCATAACAGGGCAAAGTCTAGAGTTATTTTATTATTTAGTTTAATATTTTCATTTTTCATAGTCAATCACAAAACAAAGTAAAACCAACTGTTTTTTAAAAATACTATTAAAAGCTATGTCACTTAATGTAGTAAAGCCAAGTGTTCACATTATTTTAAAAATTCATTTTTTGGTACACCCATGTGTAGAAGATAACTTTTCTGTTGCTACCTCAAATACAATATATGGTATTAGTGTAAAGTGGAGAGACTATCAACACAGCAGTGGTTTGAGTTTTTTTTCTGTATATTTATGTAAAAGCAAATAATGTATTTACAACACATTCTTTTAATTTTGTTCATGTGCATTTATTTTGGATACTAATATGTGTGAAAATTTACTGTGAATCTTCCTAGTATTTCAAACTGCATTAATAATACAGTCCATTTTATGAGAAGATCTGAACACTCTGTGATTTGGTAAACCATTACACTGTTCTTCATTCTTTATTTCCCTAATTTTTTATGATTTTATTGCACTATACATTTCTCTCCATTCCCCTCTCCTCTACCCCTATTTTACCTAAATATTTTTTGATCACACAAAGAGATGATATTTTTCAGAACATATTAAATATTCTGATATCCCCACCCTCAATTGTAACATGAAAGGGCCTGCTTGTTGGGGTTTCTGTCCTACCCTATACCCTACAACTGGCAAGCCCCAAAGAAAATCACACAGAGGACTCCATAAGATTATAAACTGATTGACCCATTAGCTCAGGCTACTTATTAGCTCTTATAGCTTATGTTAGCCCATTATTTTTATCTATGTTAGCCACAAGGCTCAGTACCTTTCTCAGTGGGGCAGCTTGCATCTTGCCTCTCCGGTGGTCTGGGCAGAACTGGTGAGGACTGGGCTTACACCTTCCTAGCATTCTCCTGTTCTATTTCCTGTCTGGTTTACCCGCCTATACTTCCTGCCTGGCAAATCAGCATTTATTTAAACCATGATTGATAGATTACAGACAATTCTCCCGCACCACTCAATTTTTATGCTATTTGAGAATAAATTTTGTAAACCCATTCTCTAAGGGTGTATTATACTCTCATCCTACTCCAGTGACCAAAGTTTTTCTCCATAGAGGTCCACAGATTATAACCACCCTACCTGCATGAATGAGCAGGCTCTCAGAATAATTTGCTTTTTCAGATAATAAGTTGGCAATGTAAACATGAAGGTCCTGGAGAATTCAATGATGTGTTTGATACAGTGAGTGCCAACTCATAGCCATTAGTTAACTGTTTACTTTGTCCTGAAATTAGAGCTTTATTATAAAGTGCTCATTATATTTTCTTCTTCCTTCCCAGGTAACCCATTAGCCACACAAAAATCAAGTAATCCTCAAGACTGAGATCATGGAGACACACATAGAAACTTGACTCCTGCATTGAACTCGAAGATTTTTATACCTCTTAGAAGAGGGGCTTTTAAGCCTATTTTAAGGGATTCCATGGCTTGCTATCAGCTTCTTATTGAAATCAAGACTTTAAAAAAACTCTGAAGTGAACTTTGTGTCCTGAAGAAGACTGCATCAGCTGTCAACTGTGCTTAGCTAATTGCACTTCTGAGGGAAGCAGACACTGCTCTCCACAAAGCTGGTGCAGAGTGGATGTTCTGGAGGTAACACCAGAGACTGCCACCTGTAAGGTTCCTGGCTTCAGCTGTGACTGTTCTTGTTTCTGAAGCTGTCTCCCAAGTGCACTGTCCTGTCATGGATGTGTTCCTGGGTTCTTTGTTCACTGTCTGATAGGACTGTTCACAGCTTTGATGATGTTTCCTTTGCGAACTCCTCTGGCATGGCGCAGATGGAGACAATTGTACTGGTATTCTAATCTTGAAACACTGAGAGCCTACATGCTTTAACATCTCACACTTGTCTTTGAGAAAGGGATGGAAGTGTTTCTGCATTGATAATGATAATCATTGGCAAGTCACCGTGATCTGAATACATCAGTCATATAAGAATGTATAGACAAGCTGACATGTTTCCCCAAGGCTAACACATCACTGCTGCTCTCTGTCGGTTAGAGAGATAGCAGCTAGGATTGGATTCCCATTACCACTGCACAGGACTCTGTGCCTAGCACATACCTTCCCTTCCAGATTTTATAAGTATTTTTTTTCTGTTTTCCTTTTCTTTCCTTCACATAACTCATCAGTGTGTAGTAAGTTAGTTGGTAGCCTAACCATGCCACCTACTGCCAGGGATGCATGTGCTTTTCTAATTTCTCATCACTTATTTTTATTCTAGTATTTTCTTAAACTATCCTCTCTGTCTCATTTTAAGACTGTCTCTTGCTTGATTCCAATGACTGCTTGAATGCTTATATATTTGTTCAGTCTGTGGATAGGAAAAATTGTTCATTTTTCTTTTACTTCAAAGTCTAAATACTTGCTTATCATTCCTTCATTCATATAATTTCATGGGCCAGTATTTTGTCAATATTTTCTTAGCCATCTTAAACCTTGTGAGTTTTAGTTCTTCAGGAATGTCTTACAAATATTTAAAGGCCTTAAACATTGATTTACCTTTTTCTAAGTTATTATAGAATGTATAATTTTATACTGCATTTATTTTGTTTTACTTTTGACTGGAGGGAGAGAATACTGGGTACTGAGTTACAACTATGTAATAATACTGTGTAAGCCTGTAGTTGGAAGGAATGTAAAGGCAAAAATTTTTCATGTCTTAATTATTTCATCCTGATCTAAAGATGCTTCACAGGTCATCCTATTAGGTGGTCCATCATTTTGGTAGAAAAAATGAAGGTATTTTGGACTTCTTGTACTGGTAAAACTCACAAACAATGACACTTAGCCTTTTGGTTTCTGTGATGGAGGCTCACATATTCTAGAAAAATTTTGTGTTAGTCTGTAGTGATATTCAAATATTTAGACACTAACCAGGCCCTTTACTTGGAAGAACAACTTAAAGTATAAAATCTGCTAAAAATTAAAATGGAAAACTATATTTTATAATACTGTGCTAAAGTCAACTGCCTCATAAATACATGGAATGAAGTGCTTTCTGCCTCCCTTTTAATTGTGCATAAAACCAATTAGGTAGTCTCAAGTGGGTTTTGCAATAGATCAAGGTTATACAGAGTTGAAATGAAAGGAATAACTGTTGTGCTGAACTTTCTATGTCAAACAAAATATCATTAATTTCTTTGAAACAAAATGGAAAATTATATCATTTTAGACATCATGAATTTATCCTAGGTTTGTTTGAAATTATTAATCATGCTTCTCATTTTGAAAACTATGTCATTTAAAACAGTGCTGGAAATTCTGTATTATAGAAAAGTGTAATACATGCATATCAATAGAAAAAATAAATGGAATTTCAAATATATGAACTAGATTATTCCCAGTAGATTAATGTTGTGATTATTCAGAAAAAAAGTGAATAAAATTGGAATATAAAATCGACTCCCTTTCACATGTACAGTTTGGAGAATCTGATTTCTTGTGTTCTGTTTTTAAAGCACCTTAATTAGTAACCAATACAATTTCAAATTTAGAAAAAAAGTGATAAATTCTTTAATCATCTTTTAATAAAGTTCTGTGCTAAACTTTCAATTTACATAAGGTTCTGATATTTGACCTACTTCTTAGGAACCATGAAATCAATACATTGACACTTGTGATACTCACCTGAAAGTCAACGAGAAACACAAATGCAAAATTCATCTCACAATGAAATTTGCAATCATTGCTTATCTTAGGAAGCACACTAGAGTAGAACAATGTATCAATGCCATGTCTCAAATATCTTTGAAGATGCCTTTTTATTCTGACATTGTTTAAAATTAACAAAAACTACAGAAGCTAGCACAGGAGTCTCTGCTTCTTTGTCATCTTTCCCCCAGGGATAACATCTTTCAGAATCGTAATACATTCTCAAACATGGAAGTTCACATTGGTGAAATTCTATAAGCTCAATATTTACATTTTTGTCAGTTTTCACAAGACCTATGCATATATATTCTCATCTTTTTAAAACACACGGCTGCCATTTTGCGGTAGGATACTGGAGTGTGCATTAGATGGGAGGTGACTATAATGGCCAATAAGTGACTGGTTGTGACAAATCTAAAGTTCTTAGTTTTAGAATAATATCTTATAACTTTATTTTACTTTTTTGTATTTTCTTTTTGCTGCTGTGACAGAAAATTTAACTTTGGACAGAATTCTTAATTATTTTAAACTTGGTATCATTTTAAATTTGCAGTAAGAAGTCTGAGAACTATGGCTGAAATGGAAAAGCTTTTTTCCTCCCTGGGATTTACCTCCTTTATAAAGTGTGATTATAGCACAACTTAGTACAGTTAATTAATTTATGTCTTTTTGTATCTAAGTACCCATGCACAAGGAATATATACACATGAAAATTTTATAAACACATTTGCATTTATATGGGAAAAAAGAAATATACAAAAAAAACAAGTGATAAGTTTTTTTATCCTTCAGCCTTTCTTGTTTTGACTAAGTAATTTGCGAGGGGAATTTAGATGATACTGGACGCTCTGGGTAAAGCACTGGAAAGTTAGGTGAGGCATACATTGCATACTAGGTATCTTTTTGTCCTCACTTACCCGGATGCCCAGGACAGAACACTACTATTTTTATCAAGGTAAAGACCTTTAGTTTGTTTGTCCCTCTAAACCCCTTCCTTCCTCCTTTATTTCTTCTTTTGTTTTGTATAATATACATAATACATAAATATAATTGAATGCATTAGAAAATGTTTATTATCTCTCTATCATCTATCTATCTATCTATCTATCATCTATCTATCATTTATCTTATCTATTGATCTATGCATCATCTATCTACTATCTATCTATCTATCTATGTATCTATCATCTAACTACCTATCTACCTATCTGTCTATCTCTCTATCTATGTCTTGATTTGTACTCCCCAAAAATATGAACTATTTTGGCTATCCTGCATTTAACTGAAAGTTTTCGAATTCCTACTAAGTACAAGCATATTTGGCCATATTTTGGATTTCATTGTTGAGAATGGCCTTTCAAATCAGGTCAACACAAATTTTCTGGATGCTGTCCTTATACTTATTACTGTGCATTGCAATGGGTAAAGTGAACAAACAGGTTCATCAGTGTTTCATATTTGTTTTACTTTGTTCACATTTCTTTCTTCAGGATGTTTAAATGGGTACTTTGAACATTTTTCTAAAAGGTCCTATCTGGTCTACGAAACAAACTTGATTCAGGAACTCACATGAACGAAATGAAATGTGGTGGTTTACAAATCTTGGCAAAATATGCTTGAAAATCTCAAAGGGGACACATTGTGAACGTGGAGAGAGATTAAAGAGGAATAAGAACATCTATGGAAAAGCTTGGACAATGATACTGGGGAGGATTTGAATCATTGGGTCTCCATCCTAGTTCAAACTAAATTCCACAAAGAAATTTTAAAATTTACCCTTGCCCATTCCTGCTTTCTGAGGGTGCTTTAATTGGCCCGACATTGACACTTAGGTATAGATGTTTCTTATAAAAGCTCTTTTGTTTGTTTAACACTCAAGATGAACATGATGAGATTGGTACAACGACCGCACAATGGAAAGTAAGATGAGGCAAAGAGCTCCAGGAGGTTCTGAGCTGAGCTCACTAGAACAGGAAAACCTTCAGTTAAGCATTAGCGAAAACTTGAAGAAAGCACAGACTACACAGCAGGTGCTAAGGATGAGTTCATTGTTTAAAGACATATTGAGGTTAAAGTGTCTGCAAAACATCCAGAGAGGTCATGTTATGTAAGAACTGAAGAATTTAATTACACTGGTAATTAGAAATTATTGTTAACTTTGGACAGAACAGTTTCATCCAAATGTTCATTACAAAATTGAGGTTTCAGTGTGCTTAAAAATGAGGGATGGATTTGAGAGTTGAAAAAGTACGTGTTGACTTCTCTTGCAACCGGAAGTGAAACAGACAAGATAGTAATTTAGTCAAAGCACCATCAAAAGAGATTTTATTTTTACCAACATGTGAGAAGAGTATGACTATATATGCCACAAAGAATGAAGGAGGAAGGGAGTAAGGAGGTAAATACAGAATCTGAGTGTAGAAAAAAGAAATTGATGGAGGAAATGGTGTCTTCCCATACTATATGAATAGCAAGGAGGATCAAATTCTGTAGACCATCCCCTAGGACCAGAAGAGTGCAGAGGGACTTGGGTTGGCTCTTTAAGCATCTTCAATGAAGTAGTGATGATACTAAGATATATAACTATCAAAGGGCATTCGCTGGAATAATTATCAGCTTGTGCCCAAGCTACTGACACTTGTATAATTAACAATTTCACAATCATTTAGTCAATAATTATGAGAGAAATGAATATTGTCTTCATATTTTTATTTGTAAAATGGTAATACTTTATATTCAGTGTTGTTGTGAAAATTTAAGGATAAAATTTTTTAAAAGTTAATTATTTAATCATGAAAGACATAATTCCCTTTTTCTTAAAATTGTGTGTGACACATTTTTAGGAATAAATCTATTCTTATATGATATAGAAGAATATAAATCCTGCTGGTTCATGTGCTAAATAAAAGAGAGAAGTATATATATTATGATTAAATAACTTTAAATGGTGACTTTTTCTAGACTTAAGAAGCTGCATGAAAAGGAACAGAGCAAGGAAAACATTTTTATTTGAGGAGTAGTTGAGAGTAAGTGTCATGAAAGAACTAGAAATTATAACACAGATTGATTTTCATCATGGAGTAAGCAATGGGAGGGTTGGTGTGAAGAATCAATATGTACTTCCTTTATTAGATGAATCAGTGAGTAATGCTTGATAAAGCCAAATAGAAAGTTTTAAATGGACTTTATTGTTTTTATCTTATGTGTATCAGTGTTTGCAGCATGTATGAAAGTGAACTGTGTATGTGTAGGATGGTACATACATGCCTTTATAAATAAGCATAATCTACTGACTACAAGAAATGGATTGTCTGAAGAGAATGGAAAATATTTTTTAACAGATTTAGTATATCTTGACATTGGGAATTGCTAGATCAAAGCAGAATCTTCAGCATCTAACTGGCAGCAGTATGTTATTCCTTGTCAGTATATTCTCTACAGTCTGGACAAAAGAAGGGAGAAAGTGAAGAACTAGAATAATCTTTTGGTGAAGATGGGCAAAATTTAAAATTATAGCTACCAATTAAGAATAGTAACATATGTCTTTATTCTCAGTACTTAGGAGGCAGAGGCTGGTAAATTTCTGTGAGTTCAAGGCCATCCTGGTTTACATATTGAATTCCAGGATAACCAGGGCTACATAGTGAGACCCTGTCTCAAAAAATAAACAGAGACAATGTTCAAGATCTTCCCTAGCTATTCATTACTGCCAGCTATGGTACATGAGACCTTACCACACATGTGCACACTCACACAAAATAATAACCAACATCTCTGCAGAACATGATTTGTGCCATGACTTATACCCAAGAATATACGTTGGACCATTAGTGTAGGAGACTGCCTGTTTATTTCCCTGCTGCTCAGACTCTTGATATAAACACACAGAAACTGTATTAATCAAATCACTGCTTGGCCCATTAGCTGTAGCTTCTTATTGGCTAGTTCTTAGGTCTTAATATAATCCATTTTTATTAGTCTGTATATCGTCACAAGGCTGTGGCTTACTGGGTAAAGTTTCGGCATCTGTCTCTCTCAGAGTTACATGAATTCTGCCTTCTTTCTCCCAGTATTCAGTTTAATTTTTCCCAACTAGCACTCTTCTGCCCTGCTCTGCTATAGATTCAAAGAAGTTTCTTTATTAACCAGTGGTATTCAAATCATACAGAGGGTAATCTCACATTACCTCCTCTTTTCTTTTTAAATAAAAAGGAAGGTTTTAACTTTAACATAGTAAAATTACATATAACAAGACAGGTATCAAGCAAGAATTACAGTTACAATATTTATATTTACTTTATCTTTTATCATAACTAAGGCATAATTATAACTATCAATTCTTTAATTCCATCAAAGACCCCAGAAGGATATACTATTACCTAAGAAAACAGGAAGTGCATTGTAAGACACTTCCAAAACTGTAGAGTTGACAGAGACGTCTTGCTGCCTGGACAGTCACCCAAAAGTCTTCTAGGGCATCCATATTCAGGCTACAGGGCCTTAGTGTTCAGCAGACTTTTCTATGAAGCAGAAAATTTCAAAAACAGTTTCACCTATATTGGCAGCTTATCAGTCAGTCACTATCTTCTTTGTCCTGCAGAATGTCTAGCAGACTCTTTCATGAAGCAGGAATTCCCATGAAGAATGGTCTCACCTTTAGGCAAGTTCTACAGTCATTTCTCTGTGGGTCCTGCATGTTCAGTTCATACAGCATAGCATCAAGCAGTCCAGGAAAGAACAATTTCTTGCCC